CACACACACACACACACCTCCCTATGGACCACCTCTCCGTTTTCACCAGACGCATAAAGCATGACATACTGTTTGCTGCAGAGCTCACCAATAAAATATAACACTAGTGTGAGCTTTGCTGGAATGCAAAAGGAGAATGCTGGAATAAAGTGTCACCACAGAAAACTCTGCTCATGTCTGAGCCAAGCTGCGCTGGAAATCAACACTGTCGCACAGACAGTTGTGTGACAAACCAAGCCGTCATGCAACAAAGCAGTGAATGACAACGTCTGATTCTCGAGGAAAATACGATTTTACGGTTTGTTTTCTGATTTCACTCAATCGTCTCTGGGCTTGCAGACCAAACACAGGCTACACTGCGTATGCTCTTCGCTGGGTTACGGCTGTAACTGCCAGTGAGCAGCACAGTAACTCAAAGTCTTACAAGTCCTAGCGGCTGTGTTCCAGTCAGCTGCAATGATTTTAAGTCTTTGACTGTTGCTTTAATATGAGTCCACCACTTATTTTGAAAAACATTTTACAGTCTGTCAGTACCTTGAGATTAAAACTGAAGCTTTGTTGAGTTTCCCCCCCTCGCTGAATTGTGGAATTTTCTTTGGACAGGGAATGAAATCACATACGCAAATGGCTCCCCCGCGAAGGACACTGACCATCTGTGTTATCAGCTAGACCTCGATATGAAACACCTTCCACTATTGAAAAACCTTGTAACATCAAAAGGAGAGAAGGGAGGAGACATTCCCAAAGGAATGAAAAAAAGCACATGTTCAAAGTGAACAGTTTTGGTTTGCCATGTTCAGCGTTTGGCCTCAGCATGTGTGTGTGTGAGCTCTGTCCTTGCAGTGGCCTGATGGCTGGTGACACAAGAATGAACAAATAAACACAAGACTTGAATCTGGATACAGGACCTGAGTCTTGTGAGCGTTATAACAGACCCCTACTTTTATCGCCAGCCGGCAAGTCACACTAGTGGAAAAAAGCAGCAAGATTGCAAACACTTTTACTGCACGGAGGAGCAAATAAGTGGCACCATGTCAACAGTTCAGCATTACAGACTCCATATTAGATATGTTTGAAGAAAGTAAAATAAAGAGCATTGCTTTTTGTAGAAAACACACTGGGTTTGCCATAGTTAAGGAAACAACACAAAGGAAAGCAAAGCAGAGAGGAGTAGAGAGGGAAGGCATGTAGCCAGCACAGCCGAGCCAGCAAGGTCCGATCATGACGTTACAGTGCAGACACAACCCCACAAGCGCCCACAGAATCGAAACGATTCAGCAAGGTTGCACTGGATACGCAGGAAGATGCACTACAGCAAACATAGTCCACAACAGTTCACTCCTCTTCTCTTCTTGCGTCTCCTCATTTTCCATTTCCCCTCTGCACTTAAGCTGTCACACTAAAGATTGAGAGGGATTGGGACAGCTAACATCTTCCTTAAGGCCCATGAGTGTCACCACAATTTCAAAAGCAGATACAGTACGAGACATCTTTGGTTATATCATAGGAATTATTGCTGAGTTTTTTCCCCACAAAACATATACTTACACAACACATCACCTATTCCCCTTCACTCTCTTGCCTTCTAAAACCCAAACTCTTTTCCCTACTGCTCTTTTTCTAACCTGCCAGCACACGGACCAGATGTGCAAATGTTTCTCCATGTTGCTATTCAAGCCCTGTTCCAAGAGAAAGGCAGAGTGAGGGGAGAGGAATATTTGACTTCACTCCACGGGAGACCAGTTTCATAAATTTTGGCGGCTACACAACGGTGAAAAAGGTAGCTTGGCTGGCTTGGCCGAGGGAGAATGTTGACGGCATACCAAACAACATGATCCTAATGAGTTGGAAAATCCCTGGCCCTCCAGAGGACTGTCCAGATGCTACCGTCATGAGAAACGCTACTGTTTTATTGAATTCAGGCTCCCCTCCCTTTCTTTAACAAGGGGCAAAATTTATTATTTGACCATTAAGGCATCCTAGGTGACATGAAGCGTAAAACCGTTTCAGAGTTAATTTGCCCTTGGCTGCAGGTCCAGTACCCCACACTGGGCACAAGACAAGTTGGTCTTTATGCCAAAGTGTCTCATGTGAACATACATTCGGAGACCTAAGGTTTTGGAAGTGTGCTCGCACCCCTGGTATAGGGGCCGCAGCCTATTTGCCGATAGCTCACTAGCTGCTATCAGGTTGACTTGTTTTGGGCAAATGATAGTCTGGCACATGACGTGCTGAGCCCTGAGAAATAACTGTAAAACTTTTCATAAGAGTCAAATCACTTTAAGCTTCAGCCAGTTCCATATATCTCTCTTGACAATTTACTGGTGCTGAGAAACAAGTTTTATTTTATGAAGAACTAAACAAACAAAGGACATTAAATGTACTTTATGAGAAAAAGGAGATTTCAATAAATCAACTACAATGATGAACGCATTAACATCTAATACAATAGTCTAAAAGAGACCAGATGGGCAAAGTGATGTGAGCTTTCTCTTTGTCCTATGACTTTTCATGGTCGAAATATAGAGTGAGCCGCCTAAGGACATATTAATGTTCTGTGTGGGTATTTTTTTCATTTTGCCAAGTGACTGAGTTGCCATTGCAGAATTATAATTGCTACCATACAATAACAACTGCATTATGAAAACAAGTGAAAAAACAAAAAGAGCCTATTTCAAACACATGCACTGTAAAAACAGCTTGCGCTCCTCTATGGTAAACCTGCTCGCTGTCTCTTCACACACCTAATTACTTGTCTGTTGTCTGGGAATCATACAAACAAACAAACAAACAGCACGGGGTCAGGGGTCATTTCACTCAGACACACAAAGGAAAAGTAGGAAGACAATTCACATTCAAGTGAATTTTAATAAGATTCCCCCAGGGATCAAATAAGTATTCAGCTCAGTTAACTTCATAAGGTCTACTGTAGAAAGTTGTTTACCTGGAGCTTTGTACACCTCATTGAGCAGGCTTTCGCTGAGTGTCAATGGGGCTCCGCTGGCTACACTGTGGGTCCAGCTCTGGCAGATCGCTTGGAGTAAAAGCGTCTGGGCCCTCGTGGCCTGTACCGTGAAGTGGGGAAGCTCAAAAATGCACTCTGTGGTGGGGGCTGAAGACCTTTTGCTCCTGCAAGAGAGGGACATGGGACAAAGAAAGACAGGGTTAGATAAATGATAGTATACAGGGAGAAAAAGAGAGAGTCAGGACATAGTGACAATAATAAATGAAAGAAGGGAAGAGTCGCATGTAAGTGCCAACATACACTTAATGAAACAGACACCGGTGGAAACAAATGGTTCACGACTTCCACGAATCCATCAATATCACATCGCAATATAAAACAGCTCATTGATAGCACCAGTGGCCAAATAGGTAGAACTACATTCCAACAGCAAATTGAAGAAGTACCAAGCACAAGCCAAGCTTTCCTTAGTTACTTGGCAGGTAGGTGTAGTTTGCCTCTTTGCCGCCGACCCTTCTCTCCCCTCCGTCAAAACTGTGATGATGATTTATGTGAAGAGATGTACAGCCCAGAAACCTGACCCTGAAAAGAATCTTTACGCATTTAACATTTCATGTGTCTCCAAGAGTGTGGAGGGAGAGTGTTTGTGTGAGTGTGACTGTGTGTGTATGACAAGCTGATGAGTTGAGCGTTCAGGGGGATGAGGTAACAGCACAGTCGGACAGAGTCCTCCAGGCCCCTGTCCATCAGAACCTCAGTGGACCATGCTCTCATTTATCATCTGACACACACACACACACACACACACACACACACACACACAACAACACACACACACACACCACACACACACACAACACACACACACACACTCACTTTTTTCATTTGTTCTTCAGTTCTTCCTTTGTAGTATTTGCGTCACTGTCTCCCCTGTTCACTCTGTAATCATTCCTAACACATTCAAACGCACATCTCCGATACCACACACACAAACATCTTGACACACACACAAACACACTGGCCTTCGAATCCCTGACTCAGGTCTTTGAGCTCTTTTTCTATCCAGGCTGTGAAGTCACGTCTCCTCAGTTCTTAAGATCACATCTATGACATCAGCAACAGCAGGAGGAGGGATTCCCCAACACACATACACACACACCAAACAAGGTATGGCAGTATACACACTGCTGAAAGTGATGGAGCCCTCATCATTATCACAACTACTGATCTCTGTCCTCCACATCTCTCCTCCCCCCCCTTGTCCCTCCCTCCGAGTCCCCAGGAACCTCCGTTCACTGGAAAAACACCCAGGGAGCCCGAACTAAACACTGCAAAACAAGCCCGTTTGGATCCACTCCTGTTTTCCTCTCTTCTGTTCTGAGATGTTCTTCAATTGGGTTTTTGAGGACTGGCAGTGCCCCTGCCTAGATACACATCTACTTTTTGGAGGGGTGTGTGTGTGCACACATGCTCGCTTGACTACATATTGTAATGGAAGCAGAGCTGCCCTCTGAGCGGCGCTTTCGGTGAAAATAGAACCGTGACTAATTCCAGGGATGGCTGCGGCGTGTCAGGAACGAGCATCACAGTTCATTTAATCACACATCCATTTTGGTCTGGTCCCAGTTCAGAGTGTGGGATATGTCACGGGGTCTCTCCCCCGCTCAGCAGCTCTGCAATCGTTTAACTCCTCTCCTTCTCTCTCTCTCTGTGTCTCTTTATCTTTCCCTTTATTCTGCTCCTGGGTGGTTCAGCAGGGTGACATGAGCTGTTAGCTGCACACAGGCAGGCCCAGAGTTCTTAACCGCCTGCTGTCTCGGGGGGGGGACTACTATGAGACAGAAAGCGAGAGAGAGTTTGATAAAGAGAGATGTAAAGAGCACAGGAAAAACAAAGGCAGTAAGAGAGAAAAACTCCAAACCTGACAAGGTCAATGAGTTTACCTTGACAGCACACATATACATTTTGAATTATCTGGCAACATATGGTGCATTTGGCACCACGGTGAACCATGCAATGTCATGCTCCTCTACTATTAGAAATCACTACTGTTACAAGCTATACGGCAAGACATCAATCAAACCGATTTTCATGTGTGTTTTTGTGTGTTCAAATTCTTTCATGGCTGTGTATGTGTGTACACGTAGCTAGATATTGCTGCGGAACAAAAGAAAGTGAAGGGGACCCAGCAACAACAATGTCCCCACATGCAGAGCAAATGTGCCTGCAAAGCCACTTCAATGGGAGGACTGGCAAGGGATGAAAGTTTGTTGGCTTATTCGAGTGTTTATAGCGTTTCAGGGGAGCTGTCATGTGCATGTGGTCGTCTAAAACTTTAATTATGCACCTGTTTTTATTATATTATGCCCAATTCTTTGCGAACAGCAACTTGGATCTTGGAGCTAAATGAGAAGCAGAAACTCTCATTAGGGTGTTTTGGGAACGCTGGATGTGAGGACAGCCAGACACTCATCGGATTTCATTAAGTAGCTGGCACAGTCAGTGTTTCTTGCTGCAACATGGTAAACAGCTTTCTGGCAGGCAGTTCATTTGCTGTTACCACAGGCCTTGAAGGAAACAAAAGTGTCCAAGAGGTAAAAATAGCAGTACTAATACCTGCAACATCAACAACAGTAACAAATGACTACTTCAAAACATATCTTAGAGCATGAAGCACATATGTGTGGGGTAACTCACAAAATGCAATTTACTGCTACACTGCATAATCTATATTAGAAACGGAGTCTGTAGCCTGGGGAGCAAAACTCATTAAAGCATACTTCTACTCTTATAATGTGGAGACCCACCAGAAGTGGGCCCACAACCCATTTTGGATCCTGACTCATAATTTAAGAAATCAGGTCCTTGGCTTGAACTTCAGTACCTCACTGAATAGGTCGTCTCTGACCTCACAGTAGTCCTTTAAGTCAATAACTTTTTTATTAAAACACAAGAGGCCACCAGGAATATGTTAAAAGGAAATCAAAATTAGTCAGGAGCTATGAAAAATTAGGTGTTTCAATTTCAGCCAATGAAATATGCTTTCCTCTGGTGTATTTCAACAACATTAGGCCTCATTTCCCGACCTGTCCCCTGTTGGTGCCGTGACTGAGTGACGAAGAACTAGACCGGGGCTAGGACAGGCCAGTTGGCGGACTTGCTGACTGCTTGGCTAGGTGACTGACTGGCTGACTGGCTGGCACAAAGTCTTTCTGTCCAGTGTCCCTGTCAAAATCAGGCAAAAACAGGGCATGGTGTTGTGCAGGGGGCGTGAGTCAGAGTCATGAGTGCCATTCCAGCTGTGGTGCACTTTGCCTTGACTGTTTCCTCTGTGTACATGCTCAAATGCGGACATAAAGCAGGGACAGCAAATTATTTTTAGTCATTAAAATGAATGAGTGAAATGTAACAGTGACTTGACTTTACAGAAGACTTTCATAAATTAGTTTTTGTTAGCTCCAGGTATGGCTCAGAGCCATCCAGTGACATTATGCCATTACTAGCAAAAGATATCACTACCTATGCTTAAGGTTCCATATAAACAGCCTCTGGGTAACCCCTTGTCTGTACCAAACCCTTTTCACATCATAATAGCTGAGATTCATTCGGACCATTGGTTCTCAGGCTAATCAGCTTCCTGGTCTGGTCTGACTGTGGTCACAACTATATTTAGACAAATACAGCTGGGGTTCTAACTAACTGGCTGTGATTGCTGCTTTACAGAGGCCACACACAAGCAGATGAATAAAAAAGAACTCAAGACACACAACCACAAAAATGCACATAGACATGCCCGCCGATAGGGGGTTGACAAACGGGTCTGTTGTCCCGGGCCCAGGGTAGGGGGGGGCAGAACTGGGCCCTCAATAAATTATGGAATAATTTTAAAAAAAAAAATTAAAATAGGCCTATTTGTGGAAAAAATATGTAATATTTGAGTTACATAAAAGCTTTTTATTTGTTTCTTCCTAATTGTGCCCTCTGAAATAGTGTCAACGAACCCACCCCCCAACACCAAAAATTCTAATTGATATGTCAGTTTGAGAATTTGAAGTTTGAATATGCTCAAAATGTCCGGTCAGCACAAGTCCGGTTCGTCGAAAAAGGACGAAGCAAAATGAGAAGAAGGAGAAGCAAGCAAAATAAAGGCGCTTAGAGATTCTCTGATACAAATATTTAAAAAAAGCGTGGTGACGGGTGAAGCTGGAACTAGTCCATGTAGAGCAAGGTAGAAACAGCGCCAGCCAGCACAGGCCAGCTTAATGTTACGTCCATCACGCTTGTATAAACGCCTGAAACAACACGGACAAGAGCGAGAGAAGATCCAGCTGCATCAGGTGACAGAGAGAATGATGCGGGAGGGGTCTGCAGCCCCGTCGGAGAGTCTGAGCAGGATGGATCAGAGACTGATCACACACTTAATTTCAGCGATCCTGCATTATGGCCAACTAGAATGACCGACTCTGATAGAGTGAACCTCGTATGTGTGATGGCAAAACGAACGCCTTTCTCAGAGAGGGCAAAGGAATTGCCAGCAGATGCAGAGGGCAGGGAATTCCCAAACTATTTGACATATTCCACATCCCACAATGGAAGGGAAAAAATCGATAGGGACTGGATAGTATATAGCAGCTCAAAAAAGGCTTTATTTTTATTATTGAGGAGAGGAGAGGAACAGGAGAGGAAAAGAAGAGGAAAGGAGAGGAACAGGAGAGGAACAGGAGAGGAACAGGAGAAATCTTGGCGTGGGGGGGGGCCCATCTAAGATTATCTTGTCCCGGGCCCAGGCAAGACTGTCAGCTGGCCTGCACATACCTGTACATACACAAATAAATCAATGAATGCAAATATGCACACAAGTTTACATGCCAACACACATGCTGTCACACAAACACATGTGTATACAAACCTGTAGACGCATATATACAAACCAATAACAGCAGGTTGGTCAGCCAGAGCACGATCAGCAGCAGTAATGACACCACAGCTGACAAAAGGCCTGCTGCTCTAACAGTCTGTAACTGGTACAATTATAAAACTAGCTGCAAGTACTAAAGTCTGACAAGACTGTTATTGAGTGTATGCATGTAAACTAAGCTAAGCATCTGTAATAGTGACAGGATGCATGTTCAAAAAGGGAGAATAGAGAAAAGGAGAACAATAA